GACTACAGAAGAAGTGGGCTGTAGTCCACGAAAGCTTATGCTCTAATAAATTTGTTAGTCTCTAAGGTGCCACAAGTACTCCTGTTGTTCTTTTTGCGGATACAGACTAACACGGCTGCTACTCTGAAACCTGTAAGTAGGGAGAGAGAGCTAAGCACACACACTGGCAAAAAACGAACAAGGTTGTGAATTCAGAGAGATGCACACACAGGAAAAAAAAAAAAAAGTATATTTGACCAGAGGGCAGACAAAGTCAGTGCTAGTGCTGAGGCAGGATACTTCCAATCAGTCCATCCATTTTTTGACTTGGTCTATAAAAATATCTTAATATTACTATTTGAATAGCAGTAAGTATGCTAACTATCATATATGCAGATAGTTATTTGATTAACCAGACTTTGCAACACATCCGTCTTGCACCTGTTCATGCTCTAACCATACCAGGTCTTCCCTACCCACTTTGGACAGTATTGTATGTAGTGCCTCAGGCTCCCAGACCATGAAAGTGATTAGCCTATATGTTGAAAGATCAAACAAAATACAGACTATAATACAAACCAGTTACAAAATTCATATATTAGTAATATTGCTGTTCACTTTTTCTTTTTAAATAGCTAGTAACTGTGCAGGGAGTGGATGGCTCAGGGACTGGCAAAAGGCTACAAGAATGATGTTAGTTTAAGTCAAGCCCAAATCACTAGTATCCAAAAGTCTTGGTCATTTGATGACTAGTTGGTATCCTACATAAAGTGAGATATTGTTCCACACTGGTTCTTAAAAGTGACAAACACATCAAAACTGACATGCTTGGAATAGGGTTGCCATGGATGTAGAGGTCAACTTATTACAGTGCAGAGTTGCATCTGAGGTACATGTGGCATTTTAAACACATGAAATTTCAGGCACTCAAGATAATGCAGCTTCTGCAGTCTCAATGGTGGTAGTGGGGATCTTTGTCTGGACTGACTGGTAAAATGATGAAAGCCCTCTGCTTTAAAATAGGGGATAGTTCATGTTTCAAACTTTACCTTTTAAATGTTTGTCAACAGAGCACTGGATAAGTAACTGGGGGAGGGGGGGAGAGAGAAAATCCATGTCTATTGCAAATGCGGGGCTCAAACCTACAATCCTAATGGAGACAGAATTCAGTCAGTAATTTTTAAATTTTAGCATGCAATTACATCTAACCTTTCAAACATTTAGTCATTTATGAGGGAAGGTTCTGACTTTGTAAGAAAGTCAGTGGTTTTTAAAGCCATTTAGTTTGTGCACTAGAGGCCTGAGGGAAGTGCTCCTTCATGTAAACAGACATCCAATTTGGAAAGGATTTTAAATTTGAAATGAGCAATCAATCCATGCAAGTCCATCTGAAGCAGTTTATGAATCCATCCAAAAAATATATGTACATTAGGTTTCTCTTAAAATGTCACTACAGCATATAAAATATTACAATCTTGAGAAAAACAAATAAAATTTAACTTATTTACATACTTTACATCAATACATATGGCAAAAAGCACACCACCTTCCTACTAAAAGTGTATTAACACATGGTTATTGGAGGCTTTGACCAATCAATACGGAGATAGTACTGGAATATGTATTGTACATTTGGTTTTGCAATTTCAGTATTAGCTTTTCTGCACTCTGGTCTGATACCTTTGAAGGACAAGCTACACAGAAGTGAAGGCCGCTGTTTTTAAGAGAATCAGGTCATTTCTTCAGGGGATTAAAAATAGGTTTAATCAAACAGAATATTTTACTTTTTTTCTTTTAGAAAGACCATGGATGCTGTCATTTTAATACAACAGAAGATCCTCTTAAAATGGTACAGTTTAATAGCAAAATGCCTGCTAGAAGTACTACACTTACCTCACACAACAAAGCCATTTACTTTCCTCTATTTATGGCTTTAGTAGAGACTGTCATCCTGCTACACCAAAAGAGCTTGTGCATGGCTGCAGAAGGGTGTAGCAGGCACAATGCAAGCAAACGCATGCTTTATCCTGCAGTTTTCTTTCATGCAGTAACTACTCACTACTTTCAAAAGTTCTGGGTGTGTGACGGTTTGATCCTTTTAATTCACCAAACTGCACACCGCTCCACCACATGCCTCTTTTCTTAGAATCACTTTGCTATGGCTAAAATCTGCCATTCATCACAAGGCAATTTAGCGTTTATCACTTTGGCCTCAAGACCACTGATTTTTAAATCCTATCCAGATGATAAATCAAGAGATCTTTTGCATTTAGTGCTTTAGGCTCCTCTCATGTTTGTTAAAGTAAGCAATATTAAAAAAAAATACTAAAGATAATTGAGCAGCATTATAAAAATAAAGTTCTTTTAAAAGAATGTGCTTTTGCAGTATTAACATTTGTTGAAACTTTTTGACCAATTTCAAGACTTTCAGTCATCCCAAACTTGTTTGTACAATTTTTTAAAAGCCGACTCATTTGCAAATGAATGCCTTAATATTTTGAGAGTTGCTGATCTCATCAACTCAAACCTTGTGCAGTGGTTTGAAAAGTGAGTAAAATGATTTTTAGTCTTTGTCTAGGACTTCATGAAACTGCAGAAGCAATTTAGAGTGGTTTTTCCAGTCTTCTCCATGCTGTTCTTTAGGGAGTTTATTGCATCTTGCTTTGCAAGACACTGTTGCAACTGTCTGTTTGGGTTATTGCTTTTCAATCCCAATTTTCCCTGCACGTTTTTCTCTTGCCCACCATGTCTCTGCAAGATGGGAAGGCTCAACACGTTAAGACAAACGTTAGGCTTACTTCACAGGCTGCTTTTTAAAAGGGTGTTATATGAAAACATTGCGGGTATTCACAACCTAACTCCACTAGAAAGGTCTTCATTTAGGAACATCACTTGAGGCAGACAGGCTTTCAAAGGAAAGCAGTGCAGATCTCCTTAAGAATTCTCCTCTTTGGACAGGATCAGTCCACAACTTTGTGTAGAATCCAACAAGTGAAAGATACTACTGGTTCCAATCCAATTCCTAATTCCACTTTGGCAGTTGTTACCAAAATTAGAAACTGTACATCATACTTGCTGTAGTCCAACTTCATTTCTGTTTTTCCTAAACTCCACTAACACTCATGTTAATTATTTCAATGATGGTCCTTTCAATACACTGGCATAACTGAACATCAGGGTCCATGCTTCCTATGTTCTTTAGTCCACTCTTATAAAATGAGTCTTTACAAAGTCCTGATTCTTCATTTGGTTTCTCCTTTAGTTGCTGGAGACCTATGGAAAATTAGAAAGAAACAAACATAGTTCAACAAAAACTGTTTCTTCTCCTATGTATATAGACAAGTGTGCATATTTTCAGATGGTGAACTGGAAATACTGGTACCACCACGGGGACAGATTAGAGCCCAAGTATGCACTGGTTTAATTCCATCAACCTTTCTGGAGATACTGAGGGAACATTTCTGTTTGGTTTCACTTGGGTCTACCTGTTTATTTTTGGTTGGTTCTTTTCTGACAAAGACAATGGTTTTAATAATTCCTAGGGGAAGGGGCCCGAGCCTCACAGCACCCTGTGAAATGGGCATTCCGTTTGCTTTAGAAAGGGGAGGAAGCGCAAACCTTGAGTGACTTGCCCAAGATGACATAAGTCAGCAGTACAACTGGGAATAGAACCTAGCTCTCCTGCGCCAGCCATTAGACACTTCTTTACCCCTTAGAGATGCAGCGGACGTCACCCACCAATGACATTCCATTACAGGCGCATATATATTATTTTTTGCCATTTTAGAATGTGAAGTACAGGCACTTGTACTTTAACTTTACACACCTTTTCACTGAGTTACAAGCTAGTCGCTACACAGAACCAGACTATCCCTTCTAGTGTCCATCATTCCCCTTCCCCAGACTATTGTAAATGTGATTCCACGTATCCAATAGGACACTCAGTTACAACCCTAACCAACAACTCCTCTCCTGCACAGCACAATAATCTCGCTTAATTTCCAGAAAGATATTCATATTTGCTAGAGATATATAGTAAAACTACTATACATTTGTACCTAATATGTGGATCAGCTTGATTTCAACTCATCTCCACTCTAACACCCCTTCCCCAACCCCTGCCCCAGGAAACACTGTTGCGATGGAACAAGTCAGATAGTGTATTAAGAGCTACAGCTATAATAAGAAAACAAAGCCATCTGAAGTGTCCGTAGGAGATTTTTAAAAGTTTCAAGGCCAATAATTAACAACAACAAAATGCATGGAGTGAACTTTTGCTGTTGCTCGGGTGCATATCAATTGAAGAGAAAAAAAGAAACCAGGACTTTCCACACCTTTTAATTCATGACAATTTAAGTAATAAATCTGCATCAGTCATGGATTCTGTCAGTGAACATCAAGAGCCAAGGGGAACAAATTCCAGCCAGGAATATGAAGATACTTATTCTAAGCCCAATGAACTCCTATAAATACAACAAAATGCACCTGGATAGAGAGGCTCTCTCAACAACAAAAACTAAATTACAGATGCCATGGTAAAAGGAAACAAGGAGCTAATTGGTCTTTCTGGTGAAATTGAGTTTTCTTCAGTGGTGCATTTCACAGTGATCTCAAAAATCCACTCTAACCTTTCAAGGTATTAGAGATACAGTGGTCTTGAATTATACCATTAGTTTTGGAATACGTACTGTCATTACTTACGTGTAATAATTGGATCAAAGTCTCTTGTCTGTGTAGCAACATCAGAGGCACAAACTTGTCCTATCTGTATCAGCAGAGACATAATATCATCATACAGCGGAGGAAAGGCTTGGCAGAAGGAGACCAAACAAGGCAGGGTCGGCATGAAGAAAGCATAGCGCTTTGTCTGGGTTAAAACTGGTAAGGAAGGGGAAAAGTTTAAAAGAATCAAGAGCTGTCATTACATTTATGATTGTAACCTATGACCTAAAATGCCGTTTCATGTTATGATTAAACATGTTATGTGTATTTCTTAAAGCCAAAAAACCTTAGCAAGCATGCAACATTATTCCATGCTACTTCCTGGTGCATTTAAAAAGGCATAAAATGCCAATTACTAGGATTCTTCTGTGACATCAGCAAGATAAATAGGTTAAAGTTAGGCAGTAAGTTTCGTTCCTGTTTTATAATTAGGATGGAATCCAAATTTCCTACATGCTAGTCTCTTAAACACTACTTAATTCTAACAACTCATTAGGAACTCATAAGAGATGAGAGAACAATTAAACTGTTGGTTTGCACGTTTCTTCACTGTGCCCAGCACAACTGTCTAAAACGTACACTTATATAGAGATGAAAAATTAGTATGAATATAAAAAACTTTTTTAATCTTGGTGTTTTCATGAAAAGACAGATTGGGATATCGAAAGAGTGTAGCGGAATGTATATTTCCTCTTAGAGCAGCGGTTCTCAAACTGTGGGTCGGGACCCCAAAGTGGGTTGCAACCCCATTTTAATGGGGTTGCCAGGGTTGGCTTAGACTTGCTGAGGCCTGGGGCCAAAGCCCAAACCTGAGGGCTTCAGCCCTGGGCAGCAGGGCTCAGGTTACAGGCCCCCTGCGTGGGGACCTGTAGTAATTTTTGTTGTCAGACATGGGTCGGGGTGCAATGAAGTTTGAGAACCCCTGCCTTAGAGCAAAATTACAACCACTTCTCCACAAAAGTATTCTAGTGTTTTGATGTTATCTGGCTGTTCACCTGTTAGCAGTGTTCCCATGACATTGATAGCTAAGCGAGCCACACTGAGAGATTTAGGTAATGCATACTGGATACACAAATATGAAAGCAGCTGGATGGCAAATATCTGTGGGGATGAAGAGGGAGAGAAACAGGTAAAAAGTTATTTTTAATACAGATTTGCTCTGCACTTCCATCACACTTCCAATCCAAAGATCTTTACAAAACAATTAATTTGTTCCCATTTTACAAATGGAGAAACTAAGGCACAAATGCAGTTACAATGTTTGTAAAAATGTTTTACCAAAGTTAATATTAAGGAAAAACATGTTTGTGAATTTAACATCAATGGAAAATGTTTTTGAGCATTCCCTTGCAGTACTTTGCAGCCCAGAGAAAGGTTTCTCCAAGGTTAAATACTTCCAATGCCTCTCAGGCTACATGGCCACACAGTACCTGTTTTTCGAGTTCAGGTTGAGCAATGAGCTCTGGTATGAAATCCAGACAGATATGCATGGAAGGAATACCTGCCACTGTCAGTGACAGAAGTTCACATGGATAACCCTATTTGAACAAGAGAAGAAAACTTCATTTAATTTCATAAAGTCATAATAGAAGCTTAACTGCATTAAGTTTTTGGTTTTTTAAAGCCCTTTGTTTACATTGTTTTCAACATTTTACTCATAACATTTACTCAGAGTCTTAACACAGACCAAGATAAAGTGTCATCCAAGCCCTGTTGCCTCAAGACAATTAATTTGCTTGCCTTTCAAGATTTTAACAAGTACCACCAGCAACTTCTGCAGAGGCAATCCTTCTCCTTCCCTCACTCAGCCAACTTCAGGCTTTTAGCACAGGCATATATTAACAGGCTTAAAAAGCAGCATTAATGTGAGCCAAAATACAGAATGTGGCCCTGAGCACAGATAATTCCTGCTAAGGAACAAGTAATCTGCACAAATTGTGGAACAAGTGGGTTGGTTATGGGCTGAGCACATTATAACATGGATTAGCTCCATTCCCCTCCCCAAAATGCCCACTCCAATACTATTTGTAGTGGTGCATGGATACATATGAACACACTCGAGTGGTGGGGAGCAAAAGTTGCACCTAGCTGTTTCCCTCTGGACCACTGCTTTTTTAGTGCCTGCATGAGCACTGGAAGCTGGGTGTAAAATAACTACTATACTAAGAAAAGCTGTGCCCTTGTTCTCTTTCCAACGCTACATGAGTGCACTGGTTTTGGATTCATTCTGCGTTGCCCTAGCCAACTATCACTTCCTGAAGAGCCATTACAAAAATGTGAAAATAAGACGTAGCCAACAAAAAACTGACCTGGAAGTGAACTAGTTTAACAATGTTGGGATCTGCAATGTACATTTGATGCAGTAGGCAGCAGATGAGACATTGCACTTCTCGAAGATTACACAAAAGGCTATCTTCTTCCTCTTCTAAACCCTTACTCTGAGGTCCAATGGCAGCAGCACTTTGAATATTCTTTAGCAGGCTGTGAGAGTTGCAACCCTGAGCTTTCTCCTCTTCTGTAGGTAAGCAAATCTCTAAAAGGATCTGCACAGCAGCACTGTCCTGGAAAGGAGTCAAGCAGCGCAGAAGTTAGTAAAACAAAATGAAGCATGAAGTATATGTGTACTTATGGAGTAACTTATATACAAACACACTGTGCCCATGGAAAAAGCAGATTCATGAATGAAACATTTGCTTGTTACATGCTCTGCCCATTCATCAGATATGGTTAAACAATATAATCACAGCAAGGCTATTATCCACCGAATGCATGTGTTTTAAATAAGTTATGTATTCCAGGTCTCTCTTCTCGTTGCTATAAGGTTCAGCTTTTGTTCACTGAAACTGGCAGACACTAGGCAGCTACCAGGGACTATTTTATTGTTCCCTAAAATCCTAATGTCAGTATAGGACGTACTCAATGCAACTTTACATAACTATATGCTGTCTGACTGCGTCAGTTAGTGGCAACATAAGAAACTAAGGCATGAAAAATAGCTACAGTTCCCATACAGAAGCTGTGGATTAGCTTGTTTAAGACTGGAATAAAGGGTAATGAGTTATTAAAAGTTATTTTAAATCAAGAATTAAAAACTTAAGCAACAAATGCCAAAAACTCCCCCCCCCCCCCCCCACAAAAAAAAAA